GGGTTTAAGATTTTTCTATCTCGTAGGAGATAAAATTGTGTTTTACACATATATTAAGAGATAATTTTTGGGGTTGGATAGTGGGGTTGGATATGTGTTCGATTCCCGCTGAATGCATTCTTGGGGAGGGGGCTGAATCTTTAGCTTCCCCCGCACTCCGGATTAGTCCCATAACCGGCTCAAAGAGTCGAAGCTCGTGGGGATACCGGAGGGAGCCAACTCGTCTCAAAGAAATGATTAGGGTTGGGTAACTCCAAAAAAAAAAGATAATTTTATCTCTAATAATATTAAAAATATTAAATTCAAAAATAAAATATACCAAATGCAATTAGAATACCGAAATTAATCGTGCGCACTTATCCTGTGAGAACGTCATCGTCTTGAGTACTTTTATAAATAAAAAATGTAATATTTTTTAAATTGAGAGCACTACACTTAATCAAATGATTATTATAATATTTTTTCAGATTATAATTATGATTTCGGTTATATTAAATATGATTTTGTTTTAAAAAAATAAATGATTATAATTATGTTTAATATTACAAGTAATATTAACGTTTTCGGTATTCAACGGGGCACTAAAAAAAGTGAAAAAGAAAGAAAGAAGGAGAAAGAGAGAGAAGCATATCTCTGAATTGGGATTGGAAAGGCGTGGGGTGGGATGCGTTGGAGTTTGACAAATAAAAAGCAGGCATGTGAGTGACTGGGCCTAGTGGGGTGTCGCCATCGACAGAAGGGCCCGCGTCATGGACGATATCTGGCCGTCGATTAGGTGGCGCCATTGACGGTGATGCGGTTCTCGCGGTAGATTGAAGCTACTGACGACACGTGACTGGGAGAGGGTCTCTGACGTGGTTGGATCTTTCCGACAATATGACGTGTCCGTTTGGCACATGGGATTAAATACGCAAACCAGTGTGGGGCCCAATTTGACGTGGACCTTAAGCAAAATTTTCAGATCTCATCTCATCTCATCTTCATTTTCTAGTCCCACCACCACTACCAACGCTTTTTAAATATATTTTTCCTTCATTATTCCTCCATTGTCCAATATTTCAACATCCAATTGACCATCTTGTCCCTACCCGGCACCCGCCCCTTTCTTTGAATCTTTCTTTATCCCTTCACCCAGATATTCCAATTATTTTCCATAAAATGATTAAAAATCAAATCAATATGCTTAATATAGTTTATCTGCTAATTTCAGATTTTTCTTTTTTCTTTTTCAAAGCAAGTCCTCATGCTATTCTAAGTCAAGAATGGTGATTTAGGAAAGTTATTTCTCAAAGTGATAATATTTTAATTTTAAATTTTAAAACCCTAAGGTGGGAGGTTATACTTAATACACTTAGGGGACGTTTGGTACAGGAGAAATTTTTTTTTAGTCGAGAATCTCAATTTTCAAAAATATGATTTTTACAATCAGTTTATGATAATATCCATAAATTTAAAATTTAGAAAAATTCAGTTTCCCGAGATTCTTGAAAAATCCTGCGTACCAAACACCCCCTTAACGTTATTTTATAATTGTTGATGTGATTTTGATTCAAAGATAACAAAATTAGTAATAAGAAGTAATCAGAAAAAAAAGCATTAAATATAATATATCCTGATGCACTTATGGTTGACCCATCACACATGGCCCAACCATCGATTCAAGAAGCCTGGAATCAACCAGAATTATGGTTCAATAAGTATGGCTCAATTGTTAAAAGAAGTAGCAATTTAAAATATAACAAATTAAGATCAAATCCCAATCCAAATGAAGTAGCGGATATGATTGTGATTTGTTTGGCAAGAAAAGTAAAGTAACACAATTGACATGATTTGAGATTTAAGATTTGGGACGTGTTTTGAATGATTTAATTATAAATATTTATTTATTTTATAAGTTAATTACTGTTATATTTATTTTAGGAAGTTTTCTTATTTTTAGAATTTTAGATTTTCGAATTTTGACAATTAGTTTATAAAAGCGTGCTTATGACCCTTATTTTAGGAGTTGAATATTTTGTTATTTTGATAATAGAAATTGAGAACTGAAGTGTTACTCTTTCGTGACATCATAACTTTCTGCTTAGCCACTTTTCTATACGCTTTCGGCATCATATCCCTTGTTTAAATTCATAATTTTTTATTTCTCAATATTTAATAAACAAATAACTAGTATATTTAATTCTTAGATCATTATTTTTTTAAAACATTTTTTAACAAGCATATAATACTAATAATCTATCAGGGGTGCAACAAATTTCGTTGATTCGATTTCGATAGTAAAGTTTAATAAATAAAAATGTTGTCATAAATCATAATAATTATCGTTTTAAATAATATTTTAAAATACTTAAGAGAATATTTTTTTAAGAGAAAACTATCTCTATTTTTGCTACAGTAATAAATTATTTGTCCGTATGTTACACTCACATAAAAGTGAGTGGGTTCCATCAAATTTTTTTCTCTTTTTTCTTCACAATTGAACCCACTCATTTTTATGTGAGTGTGTTAGACAAATATAAAAGCATTTAAAATATAAAATTGATGCGATTAAATTGATTTCTATTTGATTGTTATTTTTTAAATAATATTCAAAGGGTTTGAGGTTATGCTTTTTCTACTTTAACAAAAATTAACTATCTTATCGAACCTAATTCATATTTTAATACGATGACTAGTATGCAAGATATAATTTTATGTAGTATAATATAAGTTCTTCCTCTCTCATGTTCAGTCTTCCAGTTTATTATTTTTCACGTACAAAAGTTTAGATTTTTTTTTTTTAAATCTACTTTTTGAATTGATCCATTATCATGTTACTTTGTATAAATTAGTGTAAATTTTGCTTGGTTAGCCGCTTCTTACAATTTTTTTGACTATACCATTGTCATGACTCATGAGGTACATAATTTCTCCTAACAATGATAAATAAACACGGGAGTCCACATTGAATGCATTGGTTGGCGCTCCTTTACGAACCAAATACCCTCTTGATCAGGGGTGTGCAAAATAATCAAAAAACTGAACCGAATCATGAATCGAACCGTCCCTTAAAATAATTGGTTTTTAAAAATCAGTTCATGAACTGAACTGGTTTTTAAAAAATCAGTTAATGAACCGAACCGGTTTCTAGAACCAGTTTAAGAACTGAACCGATTTTTTGAACCAGTTTAAGAACCGAACCGTTTTCAAATCGAACCAAATTGATTTTTATAATTATATTTTTTAAATTTTAATTTTTTTTTTCAAAAGAGAGTCGACCCGAACCGGCTCTGAACCGAACTAATTTTGAATCGAACCGAACCATTTAAACTAATTCGGTTCGGTTTTTCAAAAAAATCGATTTGCTTCGAACCATCCACATCCCTACTCCTGGTAGTGCGCTCTTAAATTTGAAATTTTGCTTCATCTTCATGTTCATTGTAAAAGAAACTCAAATCATCACCGCGTCCGATGGAATAGCACAAAACATCAAATTAAGCACACCGAAATTCAAACAACTCATCGGCTAAAAAACATAGCAACCTTCAGTAGTTCAGTGAGTGCTAAAGTCCGTTATTGGCTGTTGGACCTGGACGTGCCTCACACAAGTGGCCCGTTATTGAACTTTAATGGGTTTTCGAATATTAACATTCTACCTGATACATAACAATATAAATCATTAAAAAGATTATTATTGAATAGTTAAACTATTGGGTTGAATAGTGATCAGGAGACTATAAATTCAATCCTCACCATCCCAAATTAATTAAAGCACAAGATAAATAAAAAAAAAATTAAACTTGTACAATATCCATACATCAAACCCAAAGAATTTTTATGTGAGGGGACGTATTATTAGAGAATAAGGCCATCACCCCACAACTTATTTCACACTACCCAAACCAAGTACAATGGAAAAAAAAAGGTATTGTGGAAATAAAAAATTGGATTTTTTTTCACACTATTATTCCATTATGTGTTTTCATATTGAATGGTCTTTGATTATGAAAATAACTAGCTAAGAGTTCAAACTTTTCTAATGATACAAAAAAGTAAAGAAAAATTATCGAGGAAAAAATAATGGAATAAAGTCCAATTCTGAATTTTTATTTAGAGGATTAAATAAGGTTTTATGGTTATAATATTGAGAACTAATGACACCATGTTTGTACAGTTGTTTTATGTACTGATAGGCAATTTTTCAGATTTGATCAAGATGATTATCATTATTCAAGAACAAGTGATACTGATTTTGTACAGATGTAGCTACGTTATGTTGGGGTTTGCGGAGAGAACCGAATATCCTTATATTTAAACAGAAAAAATTCCTTTTTCCAGCGTTGCATACTATGGCTGGCAACTATGCTACTTTAAGATCACAAAATAAAAGAACAACCCAAAAATAATATTCTTATATTATTTTGTTTAGAAAGAAGTGTGTATATATATATACACACACACACACTATAATATACTTTTGTAATCATATACATATACTCACATTAATTATACTGAGCATTCACTTCCCCAGAAGAAAGGTAGGTTGATATATATCAATCTATCGATCCTTGTGATGTTAAAGATGTTGGTATGCAGTTACAAACGCGAAAGTTACACAATCTAAAGTCGACGCAATGTGTTTGCTAATTAGTGAGCGTTAGTATAAATAATCGAATGACTTACCTTCCAATACATAAATAGGAGTTACACTACCCTATGGTTTATAATTATATAATGTCACTATCCTCATGCTCCTTTTAACAGAATTAGATTCCGTGAGAACTAGAGAGTTTAGACCAAGACTATTTATGAGTACTAATTCTACAATCATCAATATTTTGAAAGTCATTTTTGTGCATCGTAGGTGGCTCATGTTGGGTGTGTTTGTTAATTAGTCAACATTAGCATAATTGCTTGAATGCATGGATTTCCCTTCACATACGTGAAGTTTATATAATGTTGGTCTCCTTTAGCTCCCTTGAGCAGCATTAGCTTCTGTAAGCACTCTGAGAGCGATCAAAATGAGGACTCTTGAGATATCATGGCTAGTTTGGAAGTTCATAGTGGTTTGCACGGTGATGATATCATCATTGGTGGGTTCAAGTAACTCAGCGTGTGAATTTGATGCAATATTCAACTTCGGGGATTCAAATTCGGATACCGGGGGGTTCAATGCAGCCTTTCCAGCACAGGTTAGTCCCTTTGGAATGACTTACTTCAAGAAACCAGTAGGACGTGCATCCGATGGGAGGCTCATTGTGGATTTTCTAGGTAATGGACCAATCTTTCTCCTTTTTTGTTTTGTCATCTTTTGCTTTAAGTTTCCTTTATAGTATCTCTTGGATGAAGAGTTTTGGAGGAAAAGAGAAGAAAGGATAAAAAAATGTATTTTAAATTAAGAGAGTTATATAATATTTATAAAAAGGGACAGGATCCGTTTACAAACTTTTTTTTTGCAAATCACACTAAGTACGACCGGTCGCACACTGCATGATTAGAGTATGACCGGTCGTACTTAGTGTAGTTTGTAAGAGTTTGTAAACAAAAAAGTTTACAAATATAACCTGTCCCTTGTAAAAAAAGAATGATAGTTTTACTACATAAATTGGACACGGCTAGAACTTTCTGTACTTTAATATGCATTACCTTTGCTGTTGTACTTGCAGCTCAAGCTCTAGGATTACCATTTCTGAGCCCGTATCTGCAATCAATAGGATCTGACTTTAGACATGGGGCTAACTTTGCAACTTCAGCCTCTACTGTGCTAATGCCCACCATGTCTTTCTTTGTTAGTGGGCTTAGTCCCTTTTCCCTCGAAATTCAGCACAGTCAACTGAAGCAATTCAAAGCCAGAGTTGGTGAATTTTATCAACAAGGTCCAACAAAGTTTCTTACCACAAACTTGTATTTGCTTGTATTGTTTGCTCAAAAGCATATGTGCATGTTGTATTGACTCACATTCTCACAACGCAGAAAGAAGGATATCCTATGGTTGCTCCTCAGGAACGAATCTTCCTTCACCGGATATATTTGCAAAATCCATTTATACGTTCTATATTGGCCAAAATGACTTCACTTCCAAATTAGCATCCAATGGTATAGTTGGAGTGAGGGAGTACCTTCCTCAAATCGTCTCACAAATTGATGCCACTATCAAGGTTTGAGTAGAGTTCCTGCATGTCATGTAATCATATGTTACATCACTAAGTGCTCTTTTCACCTCAGCTTATTCCAATCATATTTTATCTCACTATGAGCTAAGATATTAGCTTTTATCAATGAGTGTTCCTTGCAATAATAATATTTCTTTGACCCTCTCCCAGATAAAAAAGTTGATGAGTATAGTAATGCATCATGATAAATACTTTGTTATCTATATTATATCTCTGATTTATATGATCATACAACTGATCAAATACAGTACAGTTGGTTATGAACTTTTTGCTCACTGAAATTTGTAGGAGATATATGCACAAGGTGGGCGTACATTTTTGGTATTCAATCTAGCTCCTGTGGGATGCTATCCTGGATTCTTGGTGGAGCTTCCTCATGGTAGCACAGATATCGATGAGTTTGGCTGCATGGTTTCTTACAACAATGTTGTTGATGATTATAACAAATTGCTGAAGGAAACTTTGAGTCAAACCAGAAAAATTCTTATAGGCGCTTCACTGATTTATGTGGACACTCACTCTGCTCTGCTGGAACTCTTCCACCATCCAACATCTTATGGTATGCAAACCTTTCCCTTGGCTTGTTTACTTTTAATATTAGCACTGCTAAAATGATCATGGTTATGCATAAAATCTATGGTACTACCCTAATATCATATGCTGCTATTATTGTTTCAATATTTATAAACCAAAGTCTTGTGCTTATTTCTAGTTTCAATTTGTTTTGTGGAGCAGGGCTAAAGTATGGGACCAGAGCATGTTGTGGGCATGGAGGTGGTGACTATAACTTCAACCCTAAAATTATGTGTGGCAATATGGCTGCAAGTGCCTGCGATGACCCCCAAAGCTATGTTAGCTGGGATGGCATTCATTTTACAGAAGCTGCAAACAAAATAGTTGCCTTTGCCATTCTCAATGGCTCCCTTTTTGATCCCCCTTTCTCCCTTCAGCAACGATGTGATCTCAAATCTATCCATTGATCCAGTTCCTTCAAAGGGTTGTTCTTATTTAACAAATTAAACTATTCCATAGTTCAAAGCAATCAAGATGCTAGATAAATAATTGGCGGGAGGGGGTGTATGCGTATCACTATTATTTCATGCTTGTATAATATAATTTGAATTATGGTGCGTGAAAGAAACTCCAATGATTGCATTTAAGAAGATATTACACACAAGTTGAGCTTTGGCCATACTTGCCTTACTTGGTATGATTAGCATTTTCTGTAAGATGTAATTGATACTTTATCACACAATTTCACTATAATATATAATCTTAAGTTAAACAGACATCAACTACCATTTGTTATTGGCTTAGACTTAATATACCGCACTGCAATCCTTGTCGCCTAGATTGTTCTCCACTTCTCCTCCTAATAATCATAATCACCCCAATAAGTCCACCACAACCACAACACACTATCACATATCCAAATTAGAGCAACTAATGCGATCGTGCAAGTCTGGCTGGCAGATTTTTAGCCTCAAATAATCGTTAACAAGTTGGCCTCTTATAAACACTACATATTTTCAACAACTTTCATCCTGTGTTTTGGTCCATTGCATAAACCTACCAAAAACATTAAAAAGAAGAAGCTATATTGTTAATAGTAATGTTAATTTTCTCTCGGAAGTAATTTTATTATGTAATATAGATAATCAATGTGGCAAAATGATAAAACTGGAGTGGTAGAATGGAATGTGGAAGAAATACTTGTTACTTGTTAGGTTAGAGATCAAAGTGAAAGTCATACAAAATGAATTTGTTTTCATTTAATTTTTTTGTTCACACCGTTTATAACGTTTTCATCACAAATTCAGGATAAAAGGTATTTGAAATATTTATTGTTAAAGATTCAGTTAAAATTAAGTGAAAGTTACGAAGGTAAGCAAAAGTCTTCCTAATCTTTCTCTTCCTTACCATCACAGCATGCTATACCCGGTGAAACTTTAAGAGCCATACCGTGTCAGCATATATACACTCAAACAGTTACATATCCAAAACATTTACGTAACCTACAACTATGGTACCCACACACCACACTACCCAAAATATGCATGTGGTCTGTCTGCCATGTGTTAAATGATTAGTAAATACTGGCATACATGATTGTAAAGTTACTGCAGTTACGAAAATAAACAAGAAAAAGAAAGTTCACCGTGTCTTATTAGTCTACTGCCTCAGACCTCAGTGCCCTTAAGCTCCTAAAAATGAGTTCAATGGAATCCATCAATTTCTTGGTCATTTTCATGGTTGTGTTGCCTTGCTTGGTCGGTTTAAGTCACTCTGAATGTGATTTCAAGGCAATCTTCAACTTTGGGGATTCAAATTCAGATACTGGTGGCTTTTATGCAGCTTTTCCTGCAGAACATGGTCCCTTTGGAATGACTTACTTCAAGAAACCAGCTGGCCGGGCTTCAGATGGGAGACTCATTATTGATTTTCTTGGTAATCAACAATACTTATCATCTTTGCCATTAAGGCTTCCTAATGTTTTCACTTCAGCACTTTATTGGGAAATTGTTTATTTTCTTTGTTTTTTTTATGTAATATCTCTCCTTATGATTGTGGACATTGAAGGAAAACGAAGAAAAAAAAAAGTTTAAGGAAAGATTTAATTGAAATGGAGGTTAGTATATAGTGGAACTTGATTCCTTAATTATATAATATTTTCTTTCTTTTTGCTTTTTTCTCAGCACCAATACCTTTATTATTATAAATGCAATTTGTATGCAGTGAATATGATTTAATCAGCCATTTCTAAACTCAAGGAGAAATGGATCATACTTAAGATATTATTGATTTTGTTTCTTTGGTGTTTCATGTAATATTACTCTTTCTTATTTTTATTGCAGGGTGCTAAGTTAAGCACTTAAGCAAGCAGTTGAATTTAACAAAATAAAGAAAAAGAAAAAGAAAGAGAGTGACACCTCAATAATACGTTGAACTTGGTCCTTGATCTGTTGGTAAATCAGGAAATCTAACAGATTGTGTAAAATTTTCCTAATCTCTGACTATTTGCATCTGTTCTATATTTTCGTCTTATTTTGAGAATGCTCAATACTTTGCCTTTATTATGTTTATAACTTCTTCTTTAGACAGTTTTCCTCACAAGACAAGATACCTAACTGGAAATAGTTGTGTAAATATGCATGACCTATAAGTTTTTGATTCTGTTTCGCTGACTCAAAAAGAGAATGACTCTTTCTGATACGTCTTTGGCAGTAGCTGAATCACTATTCTCCCCACTGATAATTTCAACTTGCTATTTTGTGGTCCAGGAAAGGAAATATTAACTCCATCAACTGTTAAAATTGACAATATATCTAATGTGTTGTCATTTATCTTTCATATTTAGAGATATACTTTAAGGCTTGAGCTATGTCAAGCTACCAGTCAATTTTGTTGTTTTTTAAATTAATTAGAAGAATGAAGAAGAAATATGCTTATTCATTGCAATAGCAGTGGTACTAATATTAGACAAGTTGTGTTGTATTGCATTTCATTGGGCAGCTCAAGCTCTTGGATTCCCATTTTTGAGTCCATATCTGCAATCAATCGGATCTGATTACAGACATGGTGCCAACTATGCTACATTGGCATCCACTGTGCTTCTGCCTAATACTTCTTTGTTTGTCACTGGGATCAGCCCTTTCTCCCTTGCTATTCAGCTCAACCAAATGAAGCAATTTAAAGCCAAAGTTGATGAAGTTGATCAACTAGGTACAAAATGCACAAACTTCCTACTTCTCACTTTTTTTTTATTTTTAATCTTTCTTCATTGCTATAATAACGTGCTAGTTTTCTTTTGACTGTTGCACAGAAACCAGACTTCCTTCACCGGATGTATTTGCAAAATCTCTTTACACATTCTACATTGGCCAAAATGATTTTACTTCCAACTTAGCCGCCATTGGCATAGGTGGAGTGCAGGAGTACCTCCCTCAAGTTGTTTCACAAATTGCTGCTACCATTAAGGTTAGAGTACCTTGTGACTATTACCATGAGACTCAACACCAACACAGACCTAAAATTACAAAAACAAAAAAATATGTTATTAATTTGGATTTTGGTCACTGAAATTTCTAGGAGCTATATAACCTTGGTGGACGTACATTTATTGTGCTTAACCTTGCACCGGTGGGATGCTACCCGGCATTCTTGGTAGAGCTTCCTCATGATAGTTCAGACCTTGATAAATTTGGATGCATGATTTCTTACAACAATGCTGTAGTGGACTATAACAACATGTTGAAAGAGACATTGAGACAAACCAGACAAAATCTTTCTGGTGCTTCTGTCATTTATGTGGATACATATTCTGTTCTGTTAGAGCTCTTCCAGCATCCTATATCTCATGGTTCAAACACTTATCTCTATGACACCCTTTTCGCTATTATAAATTACTTATATTAACACACCTTAAATATATAACCGGAATGGCTTCATTATGCTTCTGATTTGGTTGTTTTGTTTTTTTTTTTCCTTGGAACAGGACTTCAGTATGGTACAAAAGCATGTTGTGGACATGGAGGGGGTGACTACAACTTCGATCCTAAAGTTTACTGCGGCAATACCAAAGAGATAAATGGTAGCACAGTGACAGCAACAGCATGTGATGACCCCTACAACTATGTGAGTTGGGATGGGATCCATGCCACAGAAACAGCAAACAAGCTTATTACCTTTGCTATTCTTAATGGATCCTATTCTGATCCCCCTTTCCCATTTCAGGAATACTGTGATCTTCAACCTATAGGTTGATCCATTTCCTTCAGGGTTATTTCTTAATTAACAAATGAAGGAGGTCAAACTAACTCAGGATATTACATTAATAATTTTGACCACAAAAAAGAAATCAAAATTTCTAATCACACAATTTCCACCACCGAATAATAAAAAGTTTGTTTGCGGTTCATATCTACCTGCTTATAATTCAATGAGTAGGATATTAAAATGCAGAAGAAAATGATAATAGTTATCTTAAATCGCCCTAAAACCACAGATGATGAGTATATAACTATATAAACTACATTTGTCTTTTGTTGTTTTGCAACCTCGTCAGCCCTGGGATATTACATTAAACTTCGTATACATACATATACAGAATAATTGTTTCGGCTAGAACTAGACAGTAAGTCCAATGCATGGTATCTGACATTGTGTCAGTTTCACCTTCTTTTGGATTAAACAGTTCAGCCAGTGATGCAAATGAAAACTAAGACATGTTTGATTAAGGATGTTCTTTACAAGGATATAAGATATATGCTAAGCCCTTTTATGTTCAACGCCAAAACTACCCAAGAAGTGAAAAGCTGAATGGATTCATAAACATAATATTTGGTACATTATTTCAATAACGACATGGGTTGTAACAAGGCTGAGAAATTCTACTCTACATCAACTTGATGATCAAAAGAAACAAATGATGATCAACTTGACTTGCTACCTGCTAATATAGTTCTACAGTTCCAGCAATTTTCTTTTTCAGTGCCTCGATGTCTCTAGCTAGTTCCTTTCTTCTGCTAGACTGTGTAGAAATATACTGCCTAAGACACACATGGTTAGCCAACAATAAATTGGAAATCTGATTGTAGAAATATAATAAAATAAGTTCACATAGACATTTTGGTATGGTCTGTCATAAAGTTCATTGATCATTTTACCAGTTTCAAATTTCTTCAATTTTTCATTTACCCGAAACATCAACACATCAATATTCATATTAATGCAATCTCAGGAAGGCTGCTGCTGCCATTGTCCCTCCAAATTGCTTGTTTCTTGTCACTCCTCTCCTCTGTTTGTTATCCACTATACTATGATGTGGCGCACTCATTCAATGCTGGCCACGTGGAGGAACCTCAGTTTCTGATTGGTTGGTTCTCAATCTTCAAAATCCACATTGCAGCTTTATGGCTTTTACTGTTTTTGCTTGTTTCTAGTCATTTTTGTTTTTGAACATTTCTTTTTCCAGAGCTATGCGTCATGTTTATTTAAATTATCTTTCAGTATTCTCCATGTGGAAAAACATTTCTCCGGCAACTTGAGATAAATTTATCTTTGACCACTTCAAAATTATGTCGTTTTATTTATTTATTTCTTTATATTAATTGATTCATCTTTAAATGGTTATGATTCCTTTTTTCTCCCTCTTTATCATCATTTCTCTTTATCATCATTGATCTATATTTGTACGATTATGATTTAGTAGTTGGAGATAAAATTATCTCAAACAACTTGAGAAACAATAATTCATATATATATATATACATATATATATATATATATATATATATATATATATATATATTATTGATCACATTGACAAGACCATGTTGTGCTGTAGATGGATAAATTTTAAATTCCCATTTGGGAATTCTAATTAGCCACGTTTGTTATCAGGATTCTTAAAATTTTTCTAAAAAAAATGAAATTAATGGGAATTAAAATTGTGAATAAGGGGATATATTAGATTAGGATTTTAAAAAACTATTTTGAGATAATTTTTTTATAGATTTTAAAAGACTATCTAAAATTGTAGTGACTTTAAAGACTTTTTTCACAATAAATTTTTTATAAGATTGGATTTTAAAGGATTTTAATAGAATTTATAAGATTTGAAAAAAAATATGGATTTATAAAATTTTAAAAATTATAAGAATTTTTAACAAACATATAAAATAACAAAAGTCAATAAAAAATCAATGATATTAATAAAAAAATAAAATCTAATATAATTTTCTCAATCAGTAATTTTTTATTTATTAAAATAATTCAAAATTTGTATATAGAATTTAAAGTTCATGATAAAATTTCTTTTGAAATTTTTTGAGATTGATCTTGGAAATTTTGCGGTTTTAGTTCAACGTGATAAAAGCCTTGTAACCATATATCATATGCATGTTATCATTGAGTATTCTAAGAAAATTTTGAATATGAATTTTTGGATTTTATTATATGAAAATTCAGAAATTTTCTCAAATTATTTTCAATCGATACATTAAAACCTTAAATTACTTTGGGACTTTTGAAAAACAAGTTTTTCGCTATCTATTGACACAAAAAGTGTTTGAAATCGTTTTATATAACAAAAGAATTTCGTTCATGAATGTATTGTTACTAAAAATATGGTTCATATTATGAAATGTTCAATTTTTCTTTAAATCGATCTTGTTTCATTGATGTAAAACAAAAATTGGTTTCGGGGTTTTTGTTTTCTTGTTATTTTTCCACTGTTTTATGTTATTTTTAATACAAATGTCAAAAAAAATTACGACCCATGACTTGAAAAATAATTTTCTTAACTTCCAAAAGCTCTCAGTTTTTTTTTTTCATTTTTTAGTATGGATTATATTAGAATCTTGTTGGATTGTTGTTTTTGAATTATTTTGTGATGAAAATCACTCAAAAATTTGCTGCTTTTGAGTTTTGACGAAGCTCCAATGGCGGAACCCAATTTTCAACAGGTTAATCCACAAAAGGAAGAAGAAGACACTATAAAAGAGAAATCTCAAAAAATCTAAGGGGTTAGGGTGAGATTGTGAGAGAGGCATGCTATTTATATTTCTCACTAAAAAATCTCATAAAATCCATACTAATAGAAAATCCATTAAAATCGTCAGATTTTTGAATATCACAAAATTATTTTTACTTTGTTTAAAATCTTGATTAAATACCACTGTATATGGACGGACTCTAAAATAGTCTTTTAAAATCCTAATAGAATATTATGTGACTTTAAAATTCTAATTGAATACCAATGAATTTTTTTTGTCAAAAAATAATCTATTAAAATTCTTTAAAATCTCAATCCAATACAGTCCCTAAGAATCCCATGAAATAATGCCACCAGGTAAGTGGTATTCTTGGATTTTCACCTGATGGGAAAATTTTACATAATTATAGGACATAAATAACCCTGCGCTAATATCTGAATTTACATAAATAACCCTACTTTAATATTTTAAAAAATTCATCAAATATTAATTTTGTAAAATCAGCCAACATTCTCATAAATCATTGACAATGAACCATACATAGAATCAGGAAACTTAAGCTAACATCTCTAGAAATATTTTGTCTACAACGAAACAACTTTTTGATAGCATTTATGATAAATTCACTTTCTCAGCATATTCCAGGAATCGTGACTCTCATGAACAAAAAAAAAATATCCTTTACCAAACGTCCTTTAACAGAATTTGATGAGTTTCATAGTAAAACAAATTCTTTTATGAAAATTTATAGGAATTTCCAAATATGACCCATAAATGAGAATTATTTATCTAGGTAATTGTTATTTGAGTCAAATAACTTAATGGAAATTTCCAGTTAATTATAATATAATAATATTACTTAATATAATTTATGTGAAATGTGAGGACAACAAAGCAAAGAAAAAGTGAAATTTATGATGAATGACAAAATTCTGCATAAAACCTGGTGAGTCTCATTGAGTTTATGTTAAATGGTAACATGGTCTAAATTGAAATATTACATATTGTACTTCCAACTCAGTGAATTTTTTAAAATGGTCCTGAACCAAATGAAACAGTCATAGTTCCTCTCACAAACAATTCTCATTTTATCCTTGCTTTTTTAACAAAATTTTCATTTTGCCCCCTATAGAACACGGGGTTCACCTGCTCCTGGGCCATAGAATATCTGCTCCCAACTCAGGCTCAGTAGATAGGCATAGTATTTGTTTTCAATTTCTATCAAACACATTATTCGAAATAGGTGAATAAGTTTGTGGAATTACTCGGGGGTCAACTTTTTTCAAAAAAAATATTTAGGGTTGACGTAAAAACAAATATGACATATTAAAAAAATGTTTCTACCACAACATATTGAAAATTAATTTTAAAAAACGTTATACAATGTTTTCTTCTTCTTCCAAAGTCCATTACTGATAGGTTATGGGTCAATTCAAAGAAAACTTACTCAAATTTAATTGATTAAGATTGTTATTATAAAAAATTAGAGCATGACAAGCATGACACATATTTTGATTGTTGGGAATCCGAACAAGTACTCAATAACACTCGACATGGCATTTTTGCTACTTTATAACATTTTTAATTCTGTGGCATTCATGGGTGGGAGGATAATTCTTCATCTATAATTTTTTACTCTCTCTTATAATAGAAGCTTCTTATCGTTTAGATCATGCAACTTCACAAAAAAAACTTAAAAGGGTAAAAAACGACAATACTTTATTTATAATATCTTTAAAACTATATTAATATAATTCTAATAATATGTATTGTGACGGAGTCAAAAAATAATTTTACCCTTTGCCAAAAAATATAGTAAGGTAAAACTCAGCCAATATCAAGACTTTACCATTTTTTAAAATTCAATCAATACCAAAATTATATCACAATATTTAAAAAAAGGGGATTGTTTTTATTATGTTACATAACATAAAATCATCTTCCTACACACATAAATTTTATATGGGACCCACTTTAAATTTTTTCTCTTTTTCTTATTCTCTCTCCTCTCTCTTCCTTTTGTGAAAGTAGGAAATTTGTTTTTATGTTATGTTACATAACAACATAACAAAAACAATTCCCTTAAAAAAAACCCATACCATTTTTGAAAAGTGACAAAGCCCCGCAAGTAGTCTCTCCACCACATGTATCTAGAAGTAGACCTATGAGTTTTGCTGGTAACATATTTAGATAGCTGATAACGAAATGTTTTATAACGTGATCCAATAAAAGTTACTCTTATTTTTCCCCTCAAAATATGATTAAAATTGTAAGGAATCAATTCAACCTAATTAAGTTATTGGATGAGAGCTATTTAATGATTATATTATTCTTTAACATGTTCCCTTACGCAAGAGTCAATTAGACTTGAAT